AATGGTGGGCTGAAGTGACGGTATCGCGTGAAGTCTAAGACCCCAAAGCTGCTTGCGTGTAATGCGCAACGCCATCTGAGCCTTACCACGGTTAATCACAGCACTGGCATCGTGAACACTCCGACGCAGCGTCACTTGGATGTTGTGAGAACAGTTGCCATTGAAGATTGTGTATTGCAAGTGGGGACTTACGGTGTGATGTCGCGGTCGCAGCATACGCGCGTGGCGAGTGTCTTCGCGAGCCAAAATTCAGTAACAAACGCGTTGCATGGCATGCGACGCTGTGAATGGATGTTTGTTCTGCGAGGCAACAGCATGCAAGAACAGGATCTTTAGCGCGCAATTGATCGGGATGCGACAATGTATGAGGAGTTCGATTCGTGTGTTTGTATATGGCGCGAATGCGAAATGGGTACCGCCTTCTCCCGATTTGATGCGCACATTACGCCTTCTGCTTCGTCTTCTTCCCGACCTGGGTCGCAACATCATCCGCGTCGTCCCGCTGCAGAAGTGCCAGAGATTCGTGAAGCAGCCTCTTCTCACCGAGTCTGACTGTGATCGCCATGCGATGGCGCTTAGCCAGGTCGTCACCTTTGAGAAGCGTCTCGTCTTCTTCTATGGTCGTCGGATACATCCCAAGCTTTGCAGTCAGAGCCTTTGAGACGATCACTTGGTAGTCGTCAACGCGCTTCCGTTTATCCGAGAAGAGCTCTGGCTTCTGCTTCTTGATGCTCTTGAACACAGCCTTTACTTGCTCTTCCAGCTCAGGACAGACTTCGCGCAGCTGAGCCGAATACGTGAGCTGCCCTTCCGAATCTGGGTCGCCGGAGTCGCGCTCGATGATGAAGTACTCTTCCAACTCTTCGTTCTCTTCAAGCTTTGCCTGGATCACTGTCAGCTCATGCGTCCGTCGGGAATATGACAGACATTATCGTACCTCGACCTTACTAACGACCTCTTCCGACACTGTGAGCTGTTCAACGAGCGCTGCGCGAACGAGACTCCAAGATAGCTCCGCTACATCGTAACGGGCATGTTCAGGTGTTACGTAGCCATAGCGGCGGAGTAGCTCAGACGTTGGCAATGGACCGTAGTAGTTAAGGACCTCCGACCCAGCTGGCAGAGTTGATCGAAGCGACGTAACTTCGAGACTGTCGCCATGATTGACATGTGCCTGTCGGGGTCTGTTAGCCCACTGAAGTCTGCGTCTACACTGGCATATGACTCACGTTGAAATCGGCATTCGCATTGAGTATGTCTGCCATGGGTACCATTCCAAGAGGAGTAGTGCCGTCACGATCTTCGACCCATCCGTCTTCTTCAATGTCGGACTCCTCGTCTTTGTTATCCAGGTCGAAAGCGTAAGACATTATCGTGCTGCCCATGCGGTGCGCAAGATCCAGAAGTTCTTGACTACTCAACTTTGAAGCCCCTTCCGGATAGAAGACCTTGGGGTTTTCCTCGACGACAGGAACAACGCGCGATCTCAACATGTCATCACTCTGCTGCTTTCCAATCTTGTCGACTGAAAGGCAAGTTCCCTCAAGCTCCTTCAGTTCTCCTTCGGACCAGAAGATGGGTGTATCGAACGTCCGTGGTAGTACGTCCAAATATGGCTTCCAGCGTGATGCATCGCCCTGTAGATGCTCGTACATCATGACCAGTATGAGGGACGTCCATGAGTCGAGCGGCTCTTTCTCATCGTCGCCATCACCACCGACAAACGCGTCGAAGACTTCGGGCAGTTTACCAGGAAGTTCGGAAGTCTCCACGCTAATGATCAGATCTCTGGGAATGGTGAATAGCGTCGTATCCTGGGGTATATCTTGCTTTGCAACTATGCACTATCAGTGCTCATGATTCCACGTATTGCTGGGGTTTGGAAGGCGTACTGATTCCTCGGCCCGCGTCCTTGTCTCTCAAATCTTGAATTTCAAGCAGGTCGTCGCGGAAGACACCGCCGCCAGCCTTGAACCACGCCAAAAAGCGATCGGTGGCGCCTTTGAAGTCATCATTAGCTTGTGAGCGCGACATGGTGTTCTGAACTGTCAGCCTGGGTATTACGGCTGGAAGATATAGGCGACGTTGCAGAGCTTGCGCGCTTCTGAACGCGTTTGACGATGGTCGCGTCGGCGCAATTGGTGGTTGCAGAATCAGACGCGACTAGCGCGACGTCGGAGATAATCACAATCTCCGGGCGGATCCCGAGAGCATCGCCGCCAAAACACACCCACTCTATCTTCACATCATGGAAACGAAACGTCGTAGATGCATGCATTGATCTACCTAAGACACGGTATACCCACAGTTCAGGAGTCACTCAGGAGTCGCGACGCACGAACCGAATGTTCCCTCGCCGCCGCCTATCATCGTCAACACCCGTCCACAAAGCGTCCACAGCTCGCTCAACCTCATCCATCCTCTCCGCTATGTCTGAACTGTCGGTCATCACCTCTTCCGTTCGATGAAGCTGCTCCAAGAATCCCATCGTTCGCATCATGCGGCCCGCACTTGGTAAAGTCGCGCCATCATCGCGCCTAGGCGATACGCCGCTGTGTCGCGATGTTGGCGCTGTACCTCCTCTCCGCTGAGACATTCGTTGCGACAACCGCTCATTATCCTCACGTGATACCCTGTTCGCCCTAACCGCCGCGGCGAGTTGTAGGCCCGCATCAACCGCCTGCCTGGCGTGTCGCAGCTCCGCCTGCATTAATCGCCGTTCCATCTCCTCGTCCTCTTCTTCTGCGCTGCCACGACGCACGCCTTGCGACATGTCAGCACCTGTGTGCGCTGCGCGGTGGGCTAGGCGCAATCTTTCCTCGTCGTCAGCAATCGCCTGAATGGTCTGTTCGAGAGCTGCTTGAGGCATTGCAGGTAGTCGTTGACCCAGGGATGCGAAGAACCGCTGACGCTCCTGCTCACTCGTATTTTCCAACCCAAAGATAAGCTCCATTCGCCGGTCCTCCGGCGTCGCCCCAGGCGCACGAAAGCGACTCCTCTGTCGATGCGCTCTCGCTACCGCAGACTCCTCCGACTCTTCATCGACGTCTCCGAGTGCATCGCCCTCATCATCGCCAAACCAACTCTCGCGACACATTGGGCATCTCTTGCTATATCCTCTACCGCTGCTTAGATGCTCCTCGATGCACATTCTGCCGAACACATGCCGGCAAGTCGAGTTGGCGTGAGTGGAGCGTACGCGTACTGGGTAGTCGCCACCTTCCTCTAGCGGGGGAAAGGCCTCGTAGCACAGTGTACATATCCGATCGCGTTCTGGTACATCATATAGTGGCACGGGTATCAAATGTGATAAGCACTCGCGGATGCGTCGTTCAGCTCGTTGACTGGGCATGTTGGGTTTGATAAGCGTTTCTACAAGTGCGCACGCCGGTAAGTAATGGTAAGGAAGTGCAAAACGATGTCCATGCGAAGAGAATTTATACTTGATTTTGGGCTTCACGTCGCGCCTCTGAAGTCGCTGCTGTGCTTGGAGCTATCGGATTGGCATCACACGTTCCACATGTTCATCGCGGGACATTCAGAAATGCGTGCTTCAATTGACTCCATTCAGTATCACTACACGACTTTACCGCCGGCAACAGCCCGGTCTCACATTATGGGATCTAGCCCGTCCGCAACGCTCACAAGTAGTGACGGCTATGCGATCGGCCTGCTCGAGCAATTGGACGACCGTCCACAAGTCCCTAACAGTCCCCCGGGTTCCAATACGCTGTCTACTCCGCCGCAAACCACTCAAAAAGACATTCTCCTCGCTGCGAGATGTAGTAGAGGAACTAGAGCTACTCGAGCTGCTGAAGCTGTCAGACCGAGCACTCGCCGCCCGAACAGGCGTGTTGTTAGCCTCCACCGCAAGGCTGCCAGGTCCCACCGTTATTGTCTGTCTCGGGGATCCTAGCATCCTTGCGAGTCTTCCTGCTCTTGCTACCGTCACTGGTCTTAGAGAACCTCCAAGCCTTACATTTCCTTCAGCGCCTTCGGGCCTTGCAGCTTGCGGCGTGTCCACTCGGCTGCTACGGCCATCCCCGTCTCTTCTGCCACGCAATCGCGCAATCGTATCTCTCACCGCTATACCCAACCTTCGCCGACGCTCCGGCCATGGAGATGGTACTGACTCCCTTGGATAATAAGTGAAATGCACACGATCCGTGCGAACAGTCCCGGAAGCTGCGATACGGCTGATTTCAGGTATTTCTGCAGAGAGGGTGTCTTCAACAAAGCTATACGGATCCTCGAATGGTCTTGTGGGCCAGGCTGCTTCGGCGTTCTCTCTAGTTGGCTCCTGCATTGCAAGTATGATCTCCAGAAGAACACTTGCCGGGATATCTCGAATGGTGTTGAACCAATGGGTGCGGCAGAGTGGACACTTGTTGCTCCACGCATTACGACCTTCGGATAGTTTGCGCAAGCAACGATGACTGAAGACGTGGTGACAGTCACCGAAGTGAATTTGAACAGGACGTTCAGGTGTTCCTTGCTCGTCAGGACTAGGGTCGCCATATCGCGTGACGCAAAGCGAGCAAGTACGGTCTTCGCTTCGTAGTGAGGAGGACTGAACTTCAGTGCAATAGAACGTCTGGAAGGTTTGTGCGTCCGGCGCCGGCTGCGGGGGCTGTCGGGCGTGTTGCATGACTTCTCTCTTGCGGATGTCAGGCGTGGTCTACTTCGGCAGTCAGTGAGAGGTATATGTCGCTTTCAGGTGAAGCGCGATTCCATTCAACAGCCACAAACCTTCGTGAAGCGTCGCGTTGCGGACGGCTGCGACGCAGCTGCTCAAAGCCCCGCGTGGCGGTTCTACGCCCCGAAACGCCTTACCACGGAGTATCTATTCCCGAATGTCAGATGAACGGTCTTTGTTGCTCCGGTCTTCACGCGCACACGCCGTCAATTCCTAACACCACGTAACACGAACTCGATATCAGGTTTCATTTATATCTACTATCATTCCTCACACGTCTCCATAGCTCTGCCAACCGTCCGCATTACCAAACGTGGCCCTTGCTCTGTTGAATTTCCTTCACATTAATGTTCCGCCACATCAACACTCCAACAGCACCAAGGACCCAGATACACGTACTCACGATCAGAAGCCGAGACATCGCGTTTTCATATGCATGCTGGATAGCGATGCGCGTGGGCGAGCCGATCGGATAAGACAACTGCTTCGCCAGATCCCCAAAGATCTTGTGAAGATCAGGCATCTCCTCTGTAGGCAGATGTTGCCGAAATCGACTTGGAAGCACGTCCGACCAGATTGAGGCGGCGATAGTCAGACCGATGGCCCCGCCTATGTTGCCGAAGATGCTAACGAGAGCGAGCATCGCCGCAACATGTTCGTGTGACCCTGCGGCTAGGATAGCGATCTCATCCGTAACGACGAGGACGCCTTGTGAAATGGAGATGAAGAGGAAGCACACGATGATATACCCGGTGTTCCCCGGAGCGAGGAAAAGGACCATGAGACCCTGACCCAGCATGCTGAGCGGGATACCAATGACAAGCGATACGGTCTTGAAGCGGCCAGTGCGATGAATGATGTAGCCGGCCAGGACCGCGAATACCACGCTGACCACGGTATAGGCTTGTGCGACGTAGCTCGCTTCCTCTACGCTGAGACCTTGCACGACTTGCAGGTATGAGCCGAAGTAGCTGTTCCAAACGGCATAGCTGCCGAAGAGACAGGTACACAGGAGACATGCGCCGAATACTGTTCGATCCATGAGTAAGCTGTATGGAAGGAGGGGAATTGTCGCACGATTCTGCTCCCAGAATGCGAATGCAATGAGAAGACCAATGCCCACCACGAACATGCCGACCACCATTGGCGATGCCCAACCGTTGCCCGCCAACGTGTGAAGGTTGAATGGCAGCAAAAAAAGGGTAACGCCCACCGACACTAAGCACAAGCCGACCGCATCGAACTCGCGGCTGTAGTACAACACTGACTGCGCAGCACTACGACCGCTCTTGCGCTCGCGTACGAGTCCCATACTCTTCGCCTTCCGATAATTTCACACCAACAGACCAAAAAGCGGCAGCGTGACAAGCGGAACAAGTACACTGAACATACCAAACGCCCACCGCCATCCTAGGCCATTCAGATATCTCTGCGCCAACGGCCCAGCTACCCATCCTGTGATGAGGCCAGTCGAGTTCATGAACGCTTGCATCAGCGCCCTGTTCTCCAGCTTCGTCGTATCAGCGATGAACACCGACAAGATATACTGCACGCCATTATTGCCCACAGTATGAAATATCATAGCCGCAGCATACGTCCCCACGCCCTCGCATACCGTCATCAAAAGTAATCCTATCGTACCGAGAATCACGCAAAGGATGAAGCCATGCGGCCGCCCGAAGACATCGATGATCTTCGCGATCGTCAGGTTGGTGACTCCGCCGACGACGTTACTCAGTATGCTAACGGTGGGCGTGAGAGAGTGCATGGAGAAAGCGGATGTGACGTATGGTACGAGCGCTGCTGTTGTGCCGGCGAGTAGTGTTTCGACGAAGTAGATGAGGTAGATCATTATGTAGGCTGTTGTGAGGGAGTGCTTTGTCCAGGCGCGTGTTGTGGCTTCGATGGCGAGGACGCCTGGTTGGGCTGTGGTGGAAGAGGGGTCATGATTGGCTGGTGGGTCTTCAAGATGGGTGTGGTGGGTGTCGTCGATGCTGGATTTTGTAGGCTCGGCAAATGTAGATGTCGAAGAGGATGGAGAGAGGAGAGGCTCTTCGATCGACGCGCGGGGGGAATGCATGTCGCAGAGCTGCGGACTTCGAAGAGTCGGGTGAGTGTATCGACGGGAGTAAAATTGACCGCGTAGATACGACTTTGCGGCTGACTACACTCAAAGCTCAGCGGCCGATAGTCGTGAAAACCATGCAGGTTAGAAAGCCATGCTTTCTTGCGCTAAGCTGACTTGTCATCCTCACCGAGTCGACGGCATAACACGAGCATGACATGCATGGGGTACAAGCGGCTGGGCGAAGAGCATATTTGCGATCGTTATGGCCCGAAACCCTGAACCTTGCTGGTGCGCAAGCGTGGGGGCTCAAGATGCACGGCTGACATGCGTTTGGGGGCTACATCATGGCCGTGGAGAGTTGTCTCACGAACCTGCCTGTTCTTGTTATGGTGCTGGGCGGTGAGTGCGGTTGCATCTTTCACGCGTTAATGGTGCATTCCAAGGTAATACTGCACACGTCCGAAAAGAGTCAAGAGTCAAATTATACGCGCAGTAGCTATCATACCCCCCCGCAATCACGTCAAAGCGCCTAGCCTTACCTAGCTCAACAAGCAGCGACATCAACCAGTTGCGCATATCTAGTGAACTCCTCATCACGTGCAAGCATATCCCGCTCCTCGGGGAACGTGCCCAATACCAACTCCACGCCACCATCTGCCTTCAGTGGGAACACTACTAAGAACCTGAATCGCCCGCTTCCACGCTCTAGCTGGGGTCTCATCGTCTCTGGCGAACCTCGGTTGGCGAAGTAGACATCACCGAAGCTGATCTCGTTCATCTGGAAAAGTATCATGTTGGAGATCATGGCATGCATGTGGTCAAGACCCATGTTGGCTGTGGAGAACCTGCTGTGATCTGGCAGTGACTGCAAGAGGGTAAAAGCATCGTGGATCAGTGCTGGCGTCATGCGCGCTGCAGAAGCACGCAGCATCTGCGCGATACTTGCAATGCTCGTTGTGGAGGCGCAGAGTTCTTCTACTGGCATGCTTGTCCGGTTGAGCGTGAGTAGACTGCCCATGTATGAGTCTGGTAAGAGGGAGGAGAAGTAGGGTCGTCCGTCCGTTGGCAACTCGAGAATGGAGCAGTCGTCAGGGCTAAACTGTTGGCCATTGGCCTTGGCTACAGCGTAGCGAGCCCGCAATGCCGAGCGCCAGAAGAAGGCTTGTACCATATCGCTGATAGACGTACTGACACCGTTCGCAGCCGGATCGCTTGTGACGTCCGCTTTGAGTAACTCGACCTTCTCGGGTGGGATCAAAAAGAGAGTAGTGTCCATTTTTCTCTCTGCAGCCGGCAAAGGCCATATCGAGTGCAGCGGGTAGCGTGGCGGTCGGCCAAGAGGTCCCGCTGGCCTGGCAGCATGTTTCGCAAGGACGTCGTCCGTGGGAACAAATGGAAGTAAGCCCCAGACATCAGGGTCGATCTCATCTACCGAGCGCGCATGTCCTTCCAACTCATGCAGTACTTCGGGAAGGCTGTGGTTGAAGCTCTCCGCATCATACCACGCACATGTTGCTGATGAGTCCCCTTGCAGGTACCTGCAATTCTCGGCCCACGCTTTGATAGCAATGATAGCACCTACACCATCCAGGCAGCAGTGGTTGAGGTCAATGGCGAGGATGCAACCGCCTTTGATGAAGTTGGCTTGCGCAACAAGGATATCGGCGGGTAGTTGTGGGAAGGTATCTTGTCGCAGTACCAACTCGTCCTTGAAGGCTGATGGGACGAAACCGCCTTCTCGTAGGGTCTCGAAAGTCGGCAGCACATTTGATAGGTCCTTGTACACTAACCGGTCGCGAGTGGGTTGCCCAAAGGGTGGCACGGCAACGGTGAGATCGCCGTTTGCATGTGCAATCTCGTCTTTGGAAGAGCGAATCATCTTTCCACCAAGGGCTGGTATGAGTTCAAAAGTCCGATTGAGTCCGGCTTGCATGTTTGCAAACGTCTCTTCGAACGACGCGTCTGCCTGTAGCGGAAAGTAAAACACCAGGCCCATGTAGTGATTCGGATTGACGTAGTCGAAGGGATTCAGCCGGAAGGACTGCCACGCTCTTCGCTGAGCGATCATGCGCTGCAGTTTCGATTCTTGATCGTCACCTGATCTGGCACCATTCTTTGCTCCAGCGATCAATGGTTCGAGAGCGGCGGTGAACTTGGCTAGGGTTGGATTGGCGTAGAGATGACGGGGTGCAAGTTTGTCCAGGCCTATGATAGCTGTTCGGATGGCACTAACGGCTGCAGACACTCCCAAAGAATCTAGACCGAGGGCGAACAGGTCATCGTCTGGAGTGGCATTGGAGGTGGCTGGAAGAGAGGATGCGAGTATCTCTCGGACTGACTGCTGCAACGTTGATGTGGAGGTACTGTCAACGATGAAAGACCTCTCTTCACTCTGGAAACTGTAGAACCGCTCGATGTAGTCGTCATAAAGCGCCATTGTTGCTTTCCTCTTGACAGTCCCTTTATCTGTCCGAACGAAGGGTTTGTCTGGTTGCGCGAAGATGACGTGGTCGCGTGTCAAGTTGACTGTGTGTCGGGCTGAGGACATGCTTGTCTCGATCTTGGCCCATATGCTGTCCATGAGTTCGTCGCTCTTGGTCAAAGCATCCTTCAGTTCAATGAGAAGGCCTGCCTGACGCTTGTGGCTGCCAACAACAAGGCAACCATCGATCGCAGAGTGAGTGCCAACTAGTGCTTCGAACTCCAAAGGCAGGATCTTGTATCCGTTGGATAGAACGATAAGATCATCGTTGCGCCCTGTGAATGCCCAAAGATTGGGTTTGGTGGGGTGTTGCTTGTAGAGATCTTTGAAGTTGATTGAGGTCTTCTCCGGGAATGTGTGGAAGATGCCTTGGAACAAGGATGAATGTTCGTTGCGGTGAACCCAATGCTCATAGACACCCGGCTCCACTTCCTTGAACTCGAATCCGGAGTAGGGATGGAAGGCGAACCAGAACCAATCCTCCCTGTCAACAAAGAGGTTGCCGATGAAGAGACCCTCCGTCGTGCCCGTCAAATTGAGCACTCTGATGACGTCGTTGACTTTGCCGGCACTAATCGGGCTGACCGGGCCACCCGATGCGCAGATGAATTTAGATCGCTGGAGCTTGGCCAACACATCAGGTGTGTCTCCAAGCTCATCGACAAGTGATGGTACCATACTCCAAATGTCGATCTTCGCACTATCGGCAAGGTTCTCGACCAGCGACATGTTGGGTATAACGTTTGTTGGCCCCATGACAACCTGTAGACCGAAGAATATTGGCATCAGGATGTTCATGATGATGCCAGCGCCGTGACACATAGGAAAGGAAGAGTAGATCCGGTCTCCTTCCTTCCAGTCCGAAGTCCATGGTACCAACCCCTCATCGCCGTCGACAGGTGGAAGTAGGCGAATCGCATCCATCGTTCCGACCAAGCTGTGAGACCATGGAATAGGTTTTGGCACACCTGTCGAGCCCGATGTGTGAAGATAGCAGAAGGGATCTGAAGCCGAGTTTTGGAAGGTTTTGGTGTATGGAAACGGCTTGGTGTCTTCTGTATCCAGGAGCTCGTCTAAAAGTGGTAGCTCCAACAACTTCATCGAACGCCTTTCCAGGAAGTTCTTTACCAGAGGTACTGCCGGCACTTCGCCTGCTTTGGCCCAGATTTCGCAGTCGGTTGCTTCGAGCACGGCCAGTGCGCCTTCAACACTGTTCTTGGGCGAAAGGTTGAGGGCGGCGTAGCCCACTTTGACACACGCATATGTAAGGAGGACATGCCGGAGGTCGTGTGGCCCGATATAGCCTACTGGTCGCACAGATGTCGACTCGCCGATCTGTGCGTGGAGCCACCAAGCAGTCTTGTCTACGGCTTTCGCAAACGCATGCGCTGATATATCTCGGTATGTTAGACCTGCACCAGAAGGCTTTGCGATGGAAAAGACAACACGGTTGGGGTGATTTCTCGCGACTTGGTCCATGATTTGAGGTATGAGACGGTGGCCATAGTCAGGCTCTCCTCCAATGGCGTCCGTATACGATGAATCCGAGGTCTTCATGTTCGGTGAAGAACGTGGTGGGGATCGCGGTGGTGATTGTGCGAATGAGGTGGGTGGTGTCGAAGCGCCACTGGCCATCGACATCGCACTTGGGGATGAGTATCCGCTCTTCGTGCCGTTAAACAGGCTGCGAGCTTGCAGATAGCTGGTGTTTGCTTCGTTGATCCACGGCATATCGGCTCGTAGCGGTTTCCTCTCCTTGAAGTAGCTTGGCCGTCCGTCCTCGTATATCAGCTCGAGACGCTGGTCCTTCTCGAACTCGCCCTTGGGTGCGCTGACCCATTCCCCATCGGCTAGCATGGCTACGCTACAATGCCAGGGTGTGGTGTAGCCCGTTTTGGTGTTGAGAAGACTTATGGAGATCTTGTGGTCGCCTATCGATTCGTGTATCGACAATCTCAGGTGGTTTGGGAAGGCTGCTTTGACTGCTCCCGCATAAGCCTGCACCTGATGTCAGTGTCCGGTAGCTCAGCCACGTAAGGAGAAGGTTCTTGAAACTTACGTATCCTCTGAAAAGCATCTGCTTGGCTAGATACTTGACGTCCCTCTTGTATTGGTTGCTGCCGCGGTTCTCTCCAAGCGCGAAGATGTGCTTCAGATCCGACTCGAGAAACTTGCGGTAGCCGAGATAAGTCAGTCTCGTATCCGCATTCTCCCTGATCTCTTTGTCGATATCGATATCCGGCCTTCCATGCTTGTTCAAAAGCAGTCGCCTGAAGTTGGTACAATTGGCGACGTAGGTGATCTCTCGCAGCTTGTCCGGGAGCGGAAGGTCAAGTATGTCCTTCAAGCGAGAGAAGGCAACGTGGGTGAACTTCTTCTCCACTGCCATCTGCCGCAGAGCCTCGCCATAGATCCATGTCTCACGGTCAGATATCGATAACAAGTCTTGTTTTATGCATTAGTAGAGAACATCCGTAACCATCATACATACACATACCGTTGTAGGTGATGCCATCAGATATGATGGTGACTCTGGCTCCGGGCTTGTAGACATCCTTGATCCTTGCGCACATGTGGTTCAGGCGTTGAAGCGCTAACTCTTCAGCCTTGTCGGGAAGGGAACCAAGCACTTTGTAAACCTTGTTGGCCGACTTGAAGGGAAAGGCCGGCAAACATGCTTCGACGCGTTCACCCGCCAGGACGAATCGGTCGATTACGGCCAGGAAGTTCGCCGTTCCTGCCGCTAAGCGTTCTTTGGAATCGTCGAACTTGTTGAGAGCATGTTCGTAGATGATATCCAGGATCTTGGTCGATGTAAGTATTACGTCCGAAGACGATCCAGCAACTGGCGGGTTTGTGGTTTGAAGCGAGATACCAAGGCCGTTGGGGCTGTTGCCAGTCAAGCCGTTGAGGCGTATGGTCATGTCCACCATAGTCAGTGAGACATCAAAACACTTGTGTTCTGTGAAGGTGAGTAAAGCCTGTCCTCAGGTTCTGAAGTCGCTCATATAAGGACCCTAAAATGAAATGGTCAGAGTTGTGTTGTGTATGCAGGTAAGATGCAGGATTGCCACACGAGCCTTCAGGCCAGACGAAGGCTGACGGAAGCCACGATGACAGTGTAGTGTCGGGAACGGCACGCAAATACAGTCCGAGCTCCGGCATTGCAGGGGCGGCTGAGGTAATATGAGGTTGTTCGAGGCGAGCGGACGTTCACCGGGTCGCTTGTTCCCAGGCAGCATACAGTCAGCGCATCGTGCGAGTCATGGCGATCATTCTCAGCGCTGGCATTATGAGATGCTCCTGCCATTGATGCAATTGGGCTTCACGAGACCAGGTGGAGGTGGAGGGTTTACGATTAGTGTGCATGTTTGGTCCGGCCAAGCTGTGTCGCTGGAGTATAGTCATTCTGACTGAAGACGAGCCCGATCCGGCGATCGATAACCCGGATGGGGGCTAGGACGCGTGATGGTCGAGGATGCAGGTCGGTTGGTGTGTGAGGGCATGTTGGCGACGCCTGCCGCGGTGAGGTTTGACAAGGGGTGCCAAGCGTCACGTGTTCTCTAGCGGCAGTCCGAGCGCGAAACCCTCTCATCTGTCGCGTCGCGCTTCATCGCCAAGCATCTCCTCTACTGCATCCACGCCGCCACCAGGCGGACGCAGGCTCAGTACAGCCTATACTCACGCTTTGATCACAACTAACAGTTGACGATGCGATATATGCTAACCGGCTACGAGCAGCATGTCGCCCAATCGTGTGTTGCCGTCTAGGAACACGCTGACACCAACATTACCAATGCTCTCAACATCATCTCAACGATGCTCCTCATCCGCCAATCTTAGTGCAAGGTTCCACGCAATTGCAAACATCACAATCGCCATCGCAAATCCTTGACTTCAGGCGGATTAGAGCGGCGTCAACGCCAACCATCCCTAGCTTACGCGATGTTGCGATATAGCTTTGTCCAGCCACCGCCTCCCGGTGGAGAAGTGGAAAGAGAACGGCTCAATACGAGCTACATCTGAAGGCTAAGAGAACCGAGTAAGCATCGCCGTATTGTGGGAGTCTCAAAGCTGACAGCAACAGCAGTCTTACGATCATCCCGACGCGAGACCAGGCTCTAGTTTGAGCCAGAAGCGCATTCTCTTCTTCGTAGTCTTCCGACCGTACCTACCCGTGCCTCCAACATGCCGCCCATGTCTCCGCGCTCATCGCAAAGCTCCCGGTTATCCACCGATACAAGTTGATACCCTCTTCTCCATCGTCTTTTCGCTAGCCGGATTACTGTGGGCGGGGTCCATATCTTGGCTACGGAGTATATCTCCCTAGGAGGTTAAGAAGGAGCTCAGTCGTGTGTCGGACTTCTACATGACATTTCTAGCGGCAAAAGATGCGTCGCTAGACTTGCTAATAAGAGCAGCTGATAGCCAAAACGTGCTCATGCGAAATTCGCTCATTCGAAAACGCGCTCACGGCAGTATGCGCTTGTTTGAGAAGGCGCTTATCTCGTGCAGCTAGGTGGCTGATCCGGCAGGGTGCCTCATGGCAAGGACTAGACTCGGCTGCGCACTCGTGGGCGACATGTGTTGAAGGCCTGGTGCGTGGGATGACGGCGTCGGAACCAAGCCCACAGCAGCGGGTAATATGCCCTCAGACCGCTTGCAGTGGAGCGGGCCGTTGGACAGGGTCCGTGCTCGCAGACGGCTTCACCAACCTCACCCTGGTTCGCGGGTCGTGTCTGCATCCCCGCTTACTGTCAGCATGGCGCCTCTACGCCCGCCGCAAACGTCCAGTACATGTACACATGCGAGGCCATGATGCGTCGCGGCTCGCTATCGCGTTCTCACCGGCCAACATGACACACGATTCAACACCATACCCATATCCGTATTCGCAGGCTGCGCAGCTAGATCCGCGCATCACCCTCCCGCGACCGTCCATCGATCCTGGTCTAGCACCTTTGATCGACTCTGCGCTTTTACCGGAAGAGTTGGATGTAGCCTTCCTCCGCGGCTTCGATGTTGGTGGCAGTCCCGAACCAATCCTCGCCGCGAACCCGCATCTGACGCATACGGACCATGCCGTACCCGGCTCGTGCGGCCACAGCATCGCCTTGTCAGTCTTCGCCCCGAAGGCCTCGCCCAATGCATTACCAGTCCTGTATTACATACACGGTGGCGGCATGATCTCAGGCGATCGCTTCAGCGCTGTTGCGCAACTAGTCGATCTCGTCCAAGACATCCCATGCGTCATCGCCTCGATTGAATACCGGCTCGCACCCGAAACGCCTGCACCAGGCGGCGCCGAAGACTGCTATGACGGTCTCGTCTGGCTCTCGTCCAACGCCGCGCGCCTAGGCATCGATCCAGCCGCGATCGTGATCTGTGGGTCCTCAGGCGGTGCGCCTCTCGCTGCAGCAACCTGTCTCATGGCGCGCGACAAGGCAACCCCAGCCGTCCCGATCAAAGCGCAAATGCTGTTGTCGCCCATGCTCGACGACCGCTGCGACAGCGTCTCAGACCACCAATTCGAGTACGGCGTGCCCTGGAACGGCGCCACGAACCGCGCGGCCTGGAACCACGCCCTTGCTGGTCAGCGTGGCACCAACACAGTCACCGCATATCAGGCCCCATCCCGCGCTACCGACCTGTCCAACTTACCTCAGACTTACATCGATGCGGCTGAATGCGAGGTCTTCCGCGATCCTGCAGTCATGTATGCTATGAATATGTGGCGGTGTGGTTCCTCGTGTGAGCTGCATGTCTGGCCCGGTGGGACGCACTTGTTTGATGCTGTTGAGAATCCGAAGGTGTCGGTTGTGGGGGCTGCGATCGCGGCGAAGAGGGCTTGGCTGAGGAGGCTTATGCTGCCGTTGGGTGATGACGGCAGCACGGCATGAAGTGCTATGCTTGCCGTGGTGTTGCGTACGTGTCCAGGTCGAGATTCTTCGTTCTTGCGTCCGTTCGAAATATCGTTATGAACGTACGCTAACATGTTCATTGCTTGCGATCCAGGCAGCTGGCCTTCCCTACTACCCGCATCTCTACTTGTGCCTCACAGCTAATTCATCGTGATCAGCATTGCTGGCACACCGTCGTGGCCACCAACATGCAAAGTCTACCCCTTTCGAAACTGTGTCCTTGATAGCATGATCACTTTCGTGAGCTCACTGTCAAATACCCGTAGTCTGCTGTCAGCCTTTTCACCAATGCCTCAATGTCTTTCTTGGGTTAAACAGCGACTTGGGACTTGTGGCGTATCCAGCCTAGCCTCGAACATATTGTCATCCACCAACCTCAAAGCGCTACAGTGACCACCGAAGGATCGAATGGCTATTAATAAATTGCTCATATAGCCAAGAACAAAAAAGACTAGACTCGAAGTATCCACAGACGTTAGTGCAACAGCTGGTTGGCTTGGTATTGCTCGGCTATGCCGCGTTATTCGTTGTATCCGTTCCGACAACCTAGACTACTTGCGTATACCACCCGGGTTATCAGACACATATCACCTCATTCCACAATGCATTGGAAGCTCTATCGTGAACTTCTTTACTCGTCGAACGCATCATATTCTTCACACGACCACAGCAACTATCCGCATAATGACACGTAACATACCAGACCAAAACCCCAAAACGCAACGGCTTCCCATGCTGCGACCACTAGGTACGCAAACTCCCATTCTAGCCCATATCCTTCACACCAACTCACCGCCCCACAGGCAAATCCGAACAGCTCTCCGCAGTATCCCACGCCCTCGGCTTCTTCAAGAATGTCGGCATGTCCGCCCACTACACCCTATCCAATACTAATACTACCCAACCACCTGATCTACAAAGCGTGGTGTATGCGGCAATGGCGGATGTCGTAAAAGAGCATCCTATCCTATCCGCCATCCCCATAAACGAAGCGACACCGGAGGCGTACTTTGCGAGATTAGAGGTCATCGATCTGACGAACTGCGTGTTTTGGAAGACACGTGTAGGGGGTGCTACGCGTGGGGAAGAGGATGGGGAGTTGGATGGGATTCTTGAGGGTCAGCATAATATCGATTTTAAATCTGATTATGGGGATGTACCCTTCTGGCGTCTGGTTATACTGCGAGATGCTGGAACGGAACTCAGCTTCACCGCGTCGTTCATCTTCCACCATAGTCTCGGCGACGGCGCGACAGGTTCGATCTTCCACACATCCTTTCTGCAGGGTCTGAACACCGCTATCTCTCTCCCCTCTCTCGACACCCACAACTACACATGCATACCCGTTGACCCCAACATCCAACTTCTCTCACCCCTAGAGCACCTCCACCCTCTCCCGATCAACCCTACTCCCCGCTCCCACCGCGCAGACAGCAGCTCCTCGCTAAAAGAATGGTTCGGAAAACCTATCCACACTCCCCTGTCGACGCATTACAAAACACTCTACTTCGCCCCCGCAACCACCGCAGCCTTCGCAAAAAAATGCAAGGACAACGGCGTAACAGTGACATCCAGTCTCACCGCCGTGCTAGCAGGCGCTCTCTTCTCTGCTTTGCCAGATACCGTGGAAGCGCTGACGGGTATTATACCGATTAATCTGCGACCGTGGCTGGATCTGCCTGCGACGGAGGCGGATGTGGCGATGGGGAGTTTTATCGATGCGATGAAAGTGCAGGTCAGGCGTGAGCAGTGTGGGGAAGGCGGTGGTGATGGAGAAAGCACGATGAGCGGACTGCGAGCTGCGCAATTTACGTCGAACGAGATCAAGAGGTATCTCGCCAACGCCTCGCCAACCGGCGAAGCATACACGTCCATCGCGCCTTTCAAACTCATTCCGGATGTCGCTGCGGTGTTTACATCGCTCCTTGGCACGACCCGCGATGCTGCATTCGAGATATCGAATTTGGGCCGCTTTCACGATCCCTCCGCTGATTTGCTTCGGTGTGGCGACGATGATCCCGCGTACTGGCGGATAGGTAGGATGGTGTTTAGTCGTAGTGCCGTTGCGTTTGGCGCGGCGGTTACGACGAGTGTTGTTACGGGGGCGGATGGGGGGTTGAGTGTGGGGTTTTGTTGGCAGGATGGTGTTGTGGGGAGTAGCATTGTTGAGCAGGTTGTGAAGGGGTGTAGGGAAGGGGTTGAGGGCTGTGGGGTTTGATTGAGATAGGGAGGGTGGTAGTGGAGAGGGACGTGCGTGGATGGATTGCTCGGTTATGAGGAGGGACAGAGTCGATGCGGGCTCGTGATGCGCTTGAACTAGCTCAGAGTATCATGACTGTATTGTGCTCAAATTCTTCCGTGCGCAAGAATGCTACACTGCCCGATTGTCACTTCTGTCATCGCAAGACGAACGTTTCCGCTTGACTCCGGTGCGAGTCGACGTATGCATCTGACACAGCTAGGGTGCTGCGTGTATCCCCAAATATGTGGCAGTCACCGCTAACGAGCATCCAAGATCCATCTCGACGCTGTCTAAGAAGGCAAGGTGCAATGGCACCTGCAATTATGCAGACTACATCGCCATCTTGTGCAGCCCCGGGCACGATTACAAGCCCACCGTCTTGCATCAAAGCAATACTGCACTCTTGGAGAGATTCATATAATTGCGAATGTTCGTATTGAGGTAAGATTGTAGTTTTAACATACTGATGGGGTGTCAAAAATTTGCCGTGGTCGGTAAGGCAATTACTTACAAGAGTACGATCAAATGTACCAGCCAAGCGTCTCAAGTTGTAATCGAGAGAAAGGCCATCCATTAGGGACATTGCTATAGTTTGATTAATGCTAGGTATTTTTATGCGTCCATAGATCTTACCATCAAAAATCTTTCCACTGAAGTGGCCGTTTGTCTCACTACTGTCTATTTTGCTTTCTTCATTCAGATATCGCCTGAGATCGTCGAATTTGTTGTATATTCGAAGCATTTGCGTGTCCACGTCATCAATGTCAACAAATTGCAAGACCCGACTACACTCAACAATCCGCGCGTATTGACATCCAATTACGTGTAGTATAGGATCAACGAGACATTCGTTGTACGTGTACGATATCAGGGCGCGCTCTTGGTTCTCAATGTTCGTGGGCGAGAACCAATCGCCTAGGCCTTCGGTTTCGAAAGTTTCCACGTAAAAGGAACCAAATTGAAGAGGGAGAGTTTGAGACCAGTCTGGTATCCACGAGGCCATGTCCAATCCATGTGGATGACGAGTGGCGGTGAGTAGGCGAAGACCTAACACTGGTAAAAGGAATTCTGCAACTCGTTTGAAGCATTCTCCGACACTCGTAACATAGTCTATTAGAAGATCCAAATCCTCCTGTCCAGGGCCGACTAGGGATTTCAAGGCAAACACTTTGTCTCTAGGGTCGGTCGCCAGACACTCTCTACTCCAGAAGAGTAGATTCCACAGATTAAACTGTGGTGTGGTGTACTCTTGTAGGCCATCCGACATAAGTCTCAGAGGGAGAGACCAAGGAGAACGCGTCACCTTGGTGCCATCGTAGCCAAAGTAAAGCGTCCTTAGAGCATCGAAGGGTATGGTGGCGGAGCCATACATTATTGTTACTAGGTCCTTGTCGTGAACTTCCTGGAGAACCCAGGTTCTTTTGAACCACGGATCTTCGAACAAGGTTTCTAGCTGCCGCACGATAACTGAGCTGGGCCGATTCCGTACAGGATTTGCGCGTGATAAGTCCAGCGTCCTTCCCGCTTTTGCTAGTTCGTCCAGAATTCTTTCCGCTTCTGCTAGTTCGTCCAGTAAAAGGCGACATTCTGGAACCACATCGTTGAGCATAACCACGACACCGGATGCGAAGTCATAGACATCCTTCATCATGCGAACTTGATGGCCCCGCTCCGAGAGATCCTTCTGGTTGATGCAAACAGCATCGATCCAGAGTGCGCGATGTTCTTCCGGGAGCCGCAAGCGACGGAGCGCAGCGTGGCAGCTTTTTCCAACTGACAGCTTCAGTTTGGCGTCGTTGCAATGGATCACATGTGTCAGGCCACTATTTCCCCAGGTATAAGACACAGCTTGGTAATCGAGTGATACGCCGGAAAGCCTCTCGTGGCATATCGTGCATTCGATTGGGTCCAACTCGTCTGGACTGGGATGTAGAATGAGGATTCGAACAGAGTCGCTGTGTTGTAACGGCTGATATTGGTACGAAGGAGTTTCCATGACGAGATGAAGTGGACAGGGATCGCGAGTAGAAGTAGTTGCTGAGGTTTCAGGGATTGTGACACCTCTAATTCATATGTGTGCTCACGCGCATAGTTGTATCGATCGCGAGGGGGTATTTGACTCGTCTGTACGTCGCCTTTGGGTTGGCGCAGTACCATGAGATGGCAGCGACACTAGGTGTGACAACAGGCACCATGCGAAAATTGAAAGAAGTGCAAGCTCTCCTTTTCTGAAGAGGCTGTGGTCTTCGGAAGCTTTTAGGCAGCAACTTCGAGGCGCATGACAGCTGACTGCATCGAGTAGGTGGGGGCAGTGCTGTGGCGTAGACATCATCATCATCACAGCCGCGCGCAGAAGCAAACATGGTCAACAGACACCTTACTATCTGGCTTTGATTGGGTCGCTCTCCGGCTGCTCAACTCTCAATATTCCTACTGATGCATCGGCGCGGTGGGCGCGCATGGCGATTCGAACGATGCAGGCCTTCAGCACCTCGCAATACCATGCCGAAGCGTCACTATATTCAGGAAGGCCATAGTAGGCGACATATCTTCTACCTAGGTATTGCGGATTGTCGCATTACTTGTGGGTGGGTATGGAGAAGATCGCTTTCTTCACCAACGTACGCGTCCGTCGACGCTTCTTCGGCCGCCATCCTCACAACATCCGCCAACGCGAGATGCACCACGCGTTGCAGACGGGGCGATTATGGCTCCGTACCATTTATCGGTCTATAGTTAGTAAGCAGGCACTATTATACTCAAAGAAGCGCAGGCGGGCGGAAGGCCTGTTGTTTCGTGAATTTGAATCAGGTGGGGACAATACAAATCTTCAGAGACTTCGTGTAGTTAGTTAACAAACTTATAATCAAAGAAAGTAAGGGGTATGGGAGACTTGCGGAATTCCCTGTGGATGTGTTATGGTCTTGTTCAAGGTGAACTGTGTGACGGGCAGTACAGCACGAACCTAGTAGTCGTAGCATGCGGAGCTGTTGCCCTTTGCGCTTTTCTCCCGGAGCTCGTTTCACGTCAGTCTGTTACCAGAGGTTTTTATTCCAACGATTGCGAGCTGTAATGTGAGCAGAATGCAACAAGTTCGTTGAAGAAGGTATAATCCCAGGGCAGATAACCGGCTTAGATGATCGGACGAGATGTATTGAAAAATATGATTGGCGACGAAGGACATCAAGCTTACCGGCGGGTACTACAAGATCGGAGTAACGCTGTAGCGCTCTTGGGTCAACCCTGGTGATTTGTGGGCTCATCCAAGAGCACTACAGCGTTACTCCGACCCCAAGCATGTCCGTCCATCATGTCACTTCAAACCCTTGCTCTCGTACCGTGCATCTACAAACGCTTGCAGATATCCTCAATAATCTCCTCCGTCTTCGCCTTACCCCCCATATCCGGACTCAACAACCTCGCCTCCTCAAGATTCGCATCCACAGCCTTGTAAATCCTCGCCGCCGCCTCCTCCTCACCGATAAATTCCAACATGAGTGCCGTGCTCCTAATCGTCGCAATGGGGTTCGCAATACCCTGGCCCTCGATATCAGGCGCAGACCCATGGCACGGCTCACCGATGACAAAGTCTTTACCCACGTTCGCGGAGGGGACGAGACCCAGGGAGCCGACGAGGGCGGCGGCGCCGTCGGAGAGGATGTCGCCGTAGAGGTTGGGTGCGACGATGACGTCGTAGTCTTGGGGTTGGCGGAAGAGCTTGTACACCATGGAGTCGACGATTTGTTCTTCCACGTTTACGCCGCCGTATTTCCTGTTCTGCAGCGCGCGGCGGGCGGTCTCGCGGAAGAGGCCGTCGGTTTGCGATAGCACGTTGCTCTTGTGTGTGATGGTGACGAGAGGGGAGGAGTGGATGGACGTAGCGCCGGCGTCGCGAACGCGTTGCCGGCGGAGGGCAATGTCGCCGGCCATTTCGGAGATGTTGAACGAGGCGGTTTCGGAAATGCGCTTGATTGCTTCGGCGATTTTGGAGCCGTCGGGCGCGGTGTACGTCTTTTCTTCTTTGACGTAGAGATCCTCGGTGTTCTCACGCACAATCACCAAATCCACATCCCTTGCCGCTCCCCTAACACTCTTAACAGGCCTTACATTAGCGTAAAGCTTCATCTTCTTCCTCAACGCAACAATCGGACTCGAATAACCCTTGGTTTGCACAGTGGGCGAGCTGACGGCTCCGAAGAGGGCGCCATCGCAGTCGGATTTCAGAGCCGAGACGGTGTCGTCGGGGAGGGCGGCCCCAGTCTTTTGGAAGGTTTCCCAGCCGGCTTCATGGTGCGAGAAGGAGAACTTGAGGCCGAAGGACGAGGGCAGCGCTTCGAGGATGCGGCGGCCGGCGGGGATGACTTCGCGGCCGATGCCGTCGCCGGGGATGAGGCCTGCGGGGTGTGTTAGTCGATGATCGTAGCTTGAGATGTAATCGGTATATTTGAATGCAATTGATCGTCTTACCTATCCTCAAAGTGCGTGCGGCCATGTTGGGGATGTGATACGGGAGTGACAGCTTCGCGATGGAATTTTTGGTGTTGCTGCAGCTGCCGCCGAAGTTCGGAGGTCCGAGCTTTCTTTTACCGGCGCCCACGTTATGTCCCCGCGGGGGAGAACGGAGATTGCCATGCATGCAGCATGGAAATTGGTGTCAAAGTTACATTGACTGCTGCATTTGCTGCTCATACCGAGCGCGATTCCATATCATCCCTAACAATACCCCCCGCCCTTTCCATTCCATCCCACATCCCACATAACCCCTACTCCCCAAACGCCATGCTGATGCCCTCAATTCCCCCAATTCCCACCAATCCCCCATCCCCATAACCATCACCAAACAAACTGCGGATACCAAGACCCGATCCCCTAATCAAGGTCACTATTCCCATCCTCCTTCTTCCCACCGCCACCATGAACCTCCTCAAACTTCTCCTTCGGATCCTCCGCACCCTCTTTCTTCGCTTGCTCAGTGG